CCGCCGCCGCCGCCGCCCGATTCTCTGCTGCCTTTTGTTTTGAGGTAAGGTCTTACAAACTTGTTTGATCGGATCATATTTTACATTAAAATAAAAACATTCCTGGATCACTTGTCAAAATATGATTAAGAGCTCCATAAAATTCTTTTTTCCACCCACTTTCTATTTATTTGTTTAGACAGGGTCTCACCATGTAGCTAGCCGTCTAGCAACTCCCTATGGAGACCAGGCTGGCCTTGAATTCACAGACTTGCCGGCCTCTGCCTCTCCAGTACTGGATTAAAGATGTGTGCCACCAAGGCCCTTTTTTCAATTTTTATTGTTTTGAGATAGGGTCTTTTTAAAAAAAATATGTATATTGGTGAGTATGGGAAGCACCTGAGTGCAGGTGCTGGTGGAAACCAGAAAAGGGCAGCAGATCTTCTGCTGGACTTATGGGTGTTTGTGAGCCACCCGCTAAGGGTGCTGGGAACCAGAACTCTTGACTTCTGCAAGAACAGTACACAGTCTGAGCCACTCATCACTCCAGTCCTGAGAACGAGTCTCGTATAGCTCAAGCTAATCATCCTACCTCCACTTCCCAAATTCTAGATTATAGGAGTAGCCGCCACGGAACACGCTCTTCTTAGCGGTGACAGGCTGTGGTTCTGTTGGAGAGTGTCCTTGCTTCTTGGATGATCTGTGTACAGTATTGAAGGCTGAAGTACTACTGCAATTCACTCTCAGATAGTCAAGAAGAAGTTCATGTCAGGCTGGAGAGATGTATCAGTAGTAAAATTAGCTGCTGCTCTTGAAGCTGACCTGAGTTTGGTTCTCAGCACCGGAATCAGGTAACTAACAATGTCTGTAACTGTAGTTCCGGAAGACCCAATGCTTTCTTCCGGCCTCCTTTGGCACTTGCGTACACACAGACATAGACAAATAAAAACAAATCTTTAAAAAAACATTCAACCTGGTGTGACGGTGAATGCTTGTAACTCCAGGACTCTGGGGGCTCAGGCAGGAGCAGTGAGTTGGAGACCGGCCTTCACTCCAGCAAGACCTGACTTGGCAGAGTGGTTAGATTACCCAGTGTGCAAGAAGCCCTGGGCTCAGGGATTTAGAAATGCGTCACTTTCCCAGAGGACCTGACCTCAATTGCCAAATTGCCAGCACCCAAGGTTACACCTTTTTTTTTTTTTTTTTTGTTTTTTGTTTTTTGTTTTTTGTTTTTCGAGACAGGGTTTCTCTGTGTAGCTTTGTGCCTGTCCTGGAACTCACTTGGTAGCCCCAGGCTGGCCTCAAACTCACAGAGATCTGCCTGGCTCTGCCTCCCAAGTGCTGGGATTAAAGGCGTACGCCACCACCACCTGGTGGTTACATCTTCTTTTAACCTCTAGGGGCACCTGTACCCATGTGTACACCCCACTACAGACAGACAGACAGACAGACAGACACACACACACACACACACACACACACACACACACGATTAAAATAACAAAACCCTGCTGGGCATGGTGGCACACCCCTTTAATCACAGCTCTCAGGAGGCAGAGGCAGGAGGATCTTAGTGAGTTTTAGGCCAGCCTGGTCTACAGAGTGAGCCAGGACAGCCAGGGCTACATAGAGAAACCCTGTCTCAAAAAAACAAAAACAAACACACAGAAAGTCCTGAGTTCAATCCCTATCACTTGTATGGACTGGGAATAACAATACATATCTGTAGCCTCAGTGCTTGGGAGGATGGAATTAGGAGGACCAGAAGTTCAAGGTCATCCTTCACTACTTACAGTGTTCAATGCCATCTTGGGTTCCTGGGTTACCTTATCTGGGTTCCTGGGCTACCTTTTTTTTTTTGAGGGGGCAGGGTCACTCTATCATAGGGTTCTAGGGTAACTCTGGCTGCCCTAGAACTTACTCTGTAGACCAGGCTGGCCTCGAAATCCCCGAGATCCAACTGCCTCTGAAGTGCTGGGATTAAAGCTGTGTACAACCATGCACCAAATGTTGGGGTGGAGGCCGGAGGTCAACACACACCAATTTTGTTGTTTTGCCTCAGTCACTGTCCACCTTAATTATCCCGACAGTAGCTTTGACTGCACCTGGGATTTGACTGGTTGGCAACTGAGCCCCAGAGCTGTGGGATTACAGCTCCTAATGCTGAGCCTTTCTACTGGGTGCAGGGGATGGAACTCAGATTCTCATGCTTGTTCAGCAGCCTCCTACATGAGCCATCTCCCCAAGACAGGCCTCTCTGTAGCCCAGGCTAGGATTTAAACTACAAACCCTGGGTAGTGACAAAATTCTGTAATTCCAGCACTCAGAAACTGTGTCGGGGGGCATTGCCAAGAGTTGAAGGTCAGGGTGGAGAGGACTTGTTTGTAGAGTAGCCTACCATGAAGGAAGCCCTGGGTTTGATCCCAAGCACCAAATAATCTCTTCGATCCAAGCACCAAATAATCTCTTCGATCCAAGCACCAAACAATCTGGGTGCAGGGTGCCTGTAACCCCAGCAAATATGGGAGTGAAAGCTAGAGGATTAGCCTGAGCTACTATATGGGCCACTGTCTCTCAGAGAGAGGGGGGGAGGGGAGGAAAAGAGAGGAGAAGAGAAGAGAAAAGAAGAGAAGAGGAAGAGAGAAGAGAGAAGAAAAAGCCAGGTGTGGTGGTGCATGCCTTTAATCCCAGCACTAGGGAGCAGAGCAGGAGGATCCTTGGGAGTTGTAGGCCAGCCTGGTCTAGAGTGAGTTCCAGGACAGACAGACAGACAGACACACACACACACAATGTTTATACACCTATATATACATACAAAATGCAAGGTCATTTTGGGCTACATAGTAAACCTTGTCTGAAAAAAAAAATAAGAAAAAGAACACACAAAAAGAAATATCGGAAATATCCACTAAACAAATATATCATCTCTCCAAACAATGTGACCTCCAAGAAGGAGAAGACTATTTTGTCACGTGCTGTGTCCTTAGAGTCCAAACCGTGGCTAGAACATAGAAGAAACTTGGGAAAGAACTATACATTAAGTAGAATATAAACACAAGGAGCCTGTTCAGGCAGGCACTTTTTAACAGGCTGCGGAAGGATACCCTTCTAAGCTTACGTTGACGCATGCGTACAAGGTCCGGGAAGTGTAAGGAAAAAGGGGTGGAGCATCGGTGAGTGTCTCGCGGGCACAGGCGGTTGGATAGAGCGCGAGGAGGAGGCCGACCTCGGGCCTGAGCACGCATGCGCAGTACGGTTGCCAGGTCACGGCCGCTTGGGCACTTAAGGATTCTGACGGCGGAGTCCCGGCGCTGCGCGTGCGCAGTAGCCGCGGCAGGGCCCGGGCCGCACTACGGGTGTCTTTTGATTTGTGCAGCACATGCGCAGTGCGGCCGGCGGAGGGATTCGAGGCCGGGCCCGCTGCCCGTTCTGCTCGCGAGCTGAGGCCGCGCGGGTGGTGAGGGCCGTCCCGGTTAGCGCGCGCGGCGCGGACCTCTGGAGACAGCTGACGCGGACGCCGCCGAAGTGGAAGCCGGAGCGGGAGTTTTCGTCGGTGAACGGCGGCCGCGAGGCCTGAGACTAACGTCAGGCCGAGGAGGGCGCCGCGCGGTGAGTGAGTGAATGAGGGGCCTTAGCGGGGTTCGGGGCCGCTACCCACAAGCCACCGCGGGATCCCCGAACCCTCTCCCCGCGCCCGAGGCCCGCTTCCCGAGTCGGCGACCCAGCTCCCCCACAGCCCTTCCCAGAGGCCCCTGGGCGCCCCAGCCCTCCTGCCCTCAGCGCCCCCCACCCCTCGCGGCCCCCTACCCACAGGCCCTTGCGTTTTTGTATGTTGCCTCTTTTCCTCGCTTTTTTTTTTTTTTTTTTTTTGGTCTCATCCTGGACCTCTACCCATAATTCCTTTCGCCTCTGGGAGCCTAGATATTTTACGCAGATCCCCTGGCTTGAGACCCCCACCTCATAATCTTCCCCAAGGTATGAAGCCAGCAGCCACCAGACGTGGTGCTGCAGGTCCCTGGGTCCACACCTGCTCCTTCTCCTCTTTGTTCCTGTGTTTTCAGTCTTGTTTCTCAGCTCCTGCCAAGGCCTTCCTTTTTCATGCAGATGTCTCCCACCCGCTCACCCGGGATGGCTGCATCCTCAAGAGCGCTCTCCTGTTTGATTGGTTTTGGGTGAAGGGGTCGTGGAGGGAACCTGTACCCTAATGTAAGGTTTCTGGTCTCAGGCTTGGCAAGATGACGCAGTTTCTGCCTCCCAACCTTCTGGCCCTCTTTGCCCCTCGAGACCCCATCCCGTACCTGCCACCCCTGGAAAAGCTGCCACATGAAAAACATCATAACCAACCTTATTGTGGCATTGCACCATACATCCGAGAGTTTGAGGTGAGTACTCAGACATGGGGCACGCTAGGGGTACTTGGGTTCTGGATGGGTGCAGGCGCACTTCCAAGTTCATCTTGTAAGCATTTTTAGTTGTGTGGGTGTTTTTGACTTTTGCTTTTCTTGATCTTGTTTTCTGCTTAAAGTTTTTAATTGCACTTGTATGTTGTATGTGTGTGTATATGTGTGGATGTGCAAACCTGTGAACATCGTGGACAACTTCCAAGCCTCTCTTTCCACCTTGGGGGTCCAGGAGCTCAAGCTGAGTTTGTTAGGTTTGGTGGCAAGTGCCTTAACCTGCAGAACCATTGTGCTAGCCCCTTTTTGTGAGTTTTGAGACAGGGTTTGGCTGTGTAGCCCAGAGTGGCCTTGATATTGTGGCAGTCCTACTTAGGTTCCCAAATGCTGCAATTAATGGTGTGCACGTCCAGGACCGGCTAATTTCCTTGTTTTGTTTTGTTTTTTGAAGATTTATTTTGGATGTAAAATTAGTGAAAAGAAATACATATACGTACAAAAATTTTTAAAAGTTGTATATGTATGGGTATTTTGCCTGCATGTACCACATGCATGCTGCTTGCTTGGTGGCATGATTCCCTTGGAATTGGAGGTACAGATAGTTGTGAGTTGCCATGTAGGTGTTGGGAATTCAACCCAGGCCCTCTGGAGGATCAGCCAGTGCTTTTAACTGCTGAGCCATTCCTCTATGTCATTTGTTTTAAGTAGGGTTAAGAATATCTTTTGGTTGGGCCGTGGTGGTGCATGCCTTTAGTCCCAGCACTCGGGAGGCAGAGCCAGGTGGATCTCTCTGTGTTAGAGGACAGCCTGGGCTACCGAGAGTTCCAGGACATGCACCAAAACAACATAGAGAAACCCTGTCTCAAGGGGGAAAAAAAGAATGTCTTTTGTAGGGCTCTGGTGGTCCTTCATCCGTGTGATCGATCATATTTGTTAGATTGGCAAATGTGTCTTTTGTGGGGTTTTTTGTTTGTTTGTTTGTTTGTTTTTTTCGAGACAGGGTTTCTCTATGTAGCTTTGCGCCTTTCCTGGAACTCACTTTGTAGACCAGGCTGGCCTCGAACTCACAGAGATCTACCTGCCTCTGCCTCCCAAGTGCTGGGATTAAAGGTGTGCGCTGCCGCCGCCGCCACCACCTGGCCTGTTTTTATTTTAAGCTTGTGGAGATACGTCTGCTTTGCTCTGTGCTCTCAGGTACAGGAACTAAAGACTTGTGTCTGGGTTGTTTGGAGACAGTTTTTCATGGAGTCCTGGCTGGTCTTGAGTTCCCTTTGTCACTAAGGCTGGCCTTGAACTCATAGTCCTCTGCTTCGTACTCTGAGTGCCCCAATAACAGGCATGTGCCACCAACCCAGAAGCATATTAATGCATTGGTTAGGTTATCCTTTAGCAAGAGGTGGCTGTAAGATGAGACTAGTGGAGAGCTGAGTCACAGTTTGTGTTGAAGGACATAAGGCAGCTAGTAAATGTCAGATTTGTCGCTGTAGTTAGTGTTTTTATGACAGTCAGGGGACAGTGTTGCACGGGGAGATGACTTAGGGGTCAGTGTGCTCGCTACCAGGAACCTGAGTTCTGTTCCCGGGGTCCACAGTGTGGAAGGAGAGGCTGCACTCTAGCCTTTCCTCTACATCTTCATCTGAATAAATAAAGGTAATGTAGAGTTTTGGAAAGAGGACAGTGTTTGCTAAGGCTGAGCAGTGTGTCCTGCAGTGCTTAAGGCTGGCAGCTTGGGGTTTGGGCTCTGTACTTGCTAGGTATGTGACTAAATCTGAATCATTTGAGCTTTTGGGTGTCATTTCTTTTATTCAGAAAATTTGTTATGCCCACCATTGGAGCAGACCTAAGAAATGCTGCCCAGTAACCAGAAGTATTAGGAGAAACATTCTGCCATTGAGTAAGAAAGCCAGAATATAATAGATAACAGGTGATTCTGCCTGCCTGTCGTGGTCAGCCTGCACTTGGGGAATGTTACTAGCCAATAAACTGAGTTTAATGGGTTCGGTTCAGTGGTGTTCTTTCTGCAGGTCATGTGCCAATTTGTAGTTAATGAGAGGCTGGTAAGGATTTCCAGGTCTGTGACATCACAGGTTGTCTTGCTTTGGAGGTTTGCCCTGTCCACTGTTGTTTCAGGCCTATATTCTATCACTGGCATTCTGTGGGAAGTTGCGGAGTCCCTGGCGTTGGAAGCCGTATAACTTTGGTACTGTGCTTTACAGCTGTTCCACCTACGTCCATCTGATGGAAAACAAATGTCTGCAAGTCATTTGTCAGTGTATATGCTTTTTTGTTTTGTTTTATTTTTTGAGGCATGGTTTCTCTGTAGCCTTAGCTGTCCTGGAACTCACTGTGTAGACCAGGCTGGCCTTGAACTCACAGAGATCCACCCATGCACCCCTCCACACCCCGCTCTCACCCCCATGATTGATGCTTTTGCTAATATAAGGGAATTGTTTCTGTGTTTCGTTTTAAAAGGACCTTCAAAAATGAGACTTCTTTTTTTCTTTTAGTTACGCCTAGTAGACATAAAGTTACTTGGGCTCTCTTGGAGCTGACTTTGTAGACTAGGCTGGCTTTGAACCAGTGCTGGGATTAAAGGCTTACACCACCACCACCAGCCAGTGGAGATTTTTACATTGTCCTACCACAGACTTGGAGTAGTCTGGTCAGCACTGGTCCATGGAGCATAACTCATTGGACCACATTCACCCTGGGTCTTGTATTAATACGGAACTATTGGCCTTGTGTATGGAAGTAAACTGAGAGTCTTTTCCTTGGTGGTGTGCCTTGATATTTTCCATTACCTCTCTTGTTCTAGGACCCTCGAGATGCGCCTCCTCCAACAAGGGCAGAAACCCGAGAGGAACGCATGGAAAGAAAGGTATGTTGTTTTACCTCTAAGTCTTGCTTTTTTGAGACAGGGTCTCTTTATAGCCCTGGTTGTCCTAGAACTTGATCTGTAGACCAGGCTGGCCTCAAACTCACAGAGATCCTCTTGCTTCTGTCTCCTGAGTGCTAGGATTAAAGGTGTTCACCACCATCACCTAGCACCCCTTAGTCTTAATGCATTATTAGCTACTTTTTTTACAGATGGTCTTTGCCATCCAAGTACCTCTGCTTGCACTTACTCTACTTCTTTTTAATTGCAGAGACGGGAAAAGATTGAACGGCGACAACAGGAAGTGGAGACAGAGCTGAAAATGTGTAAGCTTCTCCTCTCTCCTAGCAGTCTTCCCTTCCAGTCTCATTTTGTTCCTCTTCCCAGGTCACAGCTGGGCCACTATTCTCTTGGGAGTCTGAGAAAGCAGAATTGGTTCACTTTCCTAGCAACCACTTGCCAAGCACAGGACTTGGATTAGGCTTTTTTTTTTAAAGTTCTAGTATGTTTTATTAATTGTTTCATATGTATGAGTGTTTTGCCTATCTGCATGTAGGACACTAGAAGAGGGCATAGGATTCCTTGGAACTGGAGTTGGACAGTTAGGAGCTGCTGTGTGGGTGCTAGGAATCAAACACCAGCCCCTGGAAGAGCAATCAGTGCTCTTACTTAATCACTGAGCCATCTCTCCAGCTCCCGTTGGTTTAGTCTTTTAATAGGTAGGGATACCCCAGTTACTTGCCCTTCCCTGTAAGGGACCACATTCTCCAGGATAAGGCATAAGGCAATCTGGCCAGTTGGTCTCGGCTCTATCCCTAGTTTCCGGAACCTGGGAATGGAAGTGCTTCACCATCAGTGCTTGGTAACCAGACTCACAAAATGGTCAGATCTCAGGGTTTAATAGGTAAAGACCCATCAGAGAATGAGGTTTATCTCCCATCTATTTTCTGCAGCCTTCGTGAATCATTTCTTTCTAAACCGTATTCTAGAACTTGTGGATTTTCTCAAGTGCACACAACTAAGCTAGTGCATGGAGCTCTGGTTCTCATATTATACCTAGCTAGATGCTCTTTCTTAAATATGTCATACTCCATGTTCAAGCCACAGAATCGCCTCGTCCCAATTCTTGTGGGATTCTGCTTTCCCCGAGACATGGCTTCCAGATGTTGGTGCTCAGTTTGTTTTTAGCACCTGTGTTAGGGTTCTCTAAAGGAACAGAATTGATAAAATAGGGGGAACTTTCTGTGTGTGTGTGTGTGTGTGTGTGTGTTTATGTGGATGTGTGAGAGAGATTGATGATTGATTGATTGATTGGAGTGGCTGTCTCTCAACAGAAAGGCTAAGAGTCTGCTAATTGTTCAGTCCACAAAGCTGGATGTCGCTGGGCAGTGGTGGCGCACGCCTTTAATCCCAACACTCAGAAGGCA